AACCATCAAGGTTGTCTTCTACTAGAACCTTTAAGATTTTGATTTGTGTCTAGTACTTGTATCTGTTTGTTATTACTTATTATCACGTCTCTCGAAAATGATGACATTCTTGGTTTTGGGCATTTAAAAATAATACTGTTTGTGCAGGTTTCATCTGTAACAGATCATATTGGAGCACAAGAGAGTGTTGCTAAATCAAATGACCTTGATGATGATGAAGGGGGCGGTCTGGTTGGTGTATAATTTTCCTATATTATTAGGAAATAAATAACTATCTTGTTATAATTATTTTAGCATGTTTCTCTTCTCGGTTTTCTTATGCTAAGGCTCGAGTTGAGCTACCTTTTATTGATCGCTTAATCAATTGGACTTTTGCTTCAAATATCACCCAAGAACTTGGCTTTTACTATAGCTGATGTTTACAATAATTTAATGTGCCAGTCTGTCTCATGAATGATGATCATGTGTTTAAGTTTATTTTTCTTGATAAAATGACATAGAAAGTTGTGATTTCAATACATATCTGTGCTTTCAATTATGGCATGTGTGAGATTAGGTGAGTCTCTCTTGCCTGAGCACTCACCATGAGCGTGTGTTCATGGCAACATATGCAATTGCCTGTGGTTGGCCCCTCTTTAAATGAGTTGTGGGAGTAGTTAGGCGACCTTTATGGGATATATCAGGGTGCTGAGGCTATGTGGGGTGATTTCAACTTGGTTAGAAGTCCAAGGAGAAATTCTCAAGAGGAAACACAGCAAAAAGTATGTTATAATTTGACTTTTTTTTGATTAATGATCTCTCTTCATTTGATGTCTCAATGATAATGGAAGACATGCATGGCCAAATGAGGTTGAACCTTCTCCTTATAAAGATTGATTCTTAGCTACTGAAGATTGGATGGAGTCTTTTAGAAAATCCAGAGTTGGAGGCTACACACATTGAGTCCAGAGTTGGCAAAGTATTGAGCCTTTGAATAAGTTTGGAGTGTGTGATATAGAAATAATTGAATAGTTATAGAATTGAACAACATTCTCTAGAAGGCGCATTGGAAAATTGTAGATTCTTGTAGAATTCTTGCACATTCTTGGATTCTTCAGCGTCATGGGCTGACCTTGAAAACTAGAAAGATGGATGACTTCACATGCCAAAAAGTTGGAGAAAATTGAAACTGTTCACCTGTGAAGGAACCGATTGGGTAGCATATTGAATTGACATCCGCAAGTTGTAGATATAGCCATGATACATTGATTATTATCTTATTTTCTTGTACCTGATTACGACACATGGAAGGAATACATTGATATTGTCTGTTGATGACACACGTTGGTGTCACTAAGGGAGAATGATTCTTCCCTTGGGGTTGACCACCCCGAGTTTTTCAGACATATTGATTGCAAATTTCTGACACTTTGCTTAAGATTCTTCTTCCTCTCACATACATAGAGGAAAAAGGAGGATAAAAGAAAAGAAAATGAGACATATTGGTTGTGTCATATCATTCACTTGAGGACTGTTGAACTATGCTGGTTGCTACTTTTTCCTCTTTGATTACTACTAACTGGAATGCTTTTTGGTCACTCCTTAGCTATAGCTTTTGTATACTTCATATCATTCAATAAAATATTTGTTTATTATCAGAAAAAACGTCTGCTAATTGTATTGTCAAATTGCAGGCATTGAATGCTCAATCAAGAGCTCTGCTTATGCAGAAGCTTGACCGCACTGGCATTGCAACTAGGTTTGTCTCCCTTTGGTGTGATTAAATTGGCAGATGTGTTATCTTCCCTCTTTTCTACTGCCATCTTTTTAAATGGACTTTTGTTTCCTTAAGCAAGCGAGATCAGATCAATGTGAGTTAACTGCTGCATGGTTATTGCTTCATGGTTTCAGTATTGCAGGGTCTCTTGGAGCACCAGTGTTGAATGGGTCAGCCCCAAATCAGAGATCTTCCAGCTTGCCTCTAAATGGTCAAGCTGCAGTAGCTGCACCAGCAGTACTTCCAGCTAATTTTACTCCACCTGTTTTACAATCTGTTGGAAGCCCTAGTGAATGTCTACTACTGAAAAATATGTTTGATCCATCGACGGAGGTACTGGATACCTGTATTTCTGTTCTCATCTTTCAAGGTGGATTATTTATAAGATAAGTTATGTTGCAGACGGCACCGGACTTTGACATGGAAATCAAAGAAGACGTTGAAGAGGAGTGTTCCAAATATGGTCGCGTTAAACATATATATGTGGATAAGTGAGTACTTTCTTTTCCTTGGTCCCCATAATAAATCATATAAGCCATTTCAGGTCATATTGTCAAGTGATTTTTTTTAAAGATTTTTTTGGTTAAAATTTATATTTCTGCTTTCTTTTCAAGTCTTAGTCATACTTATGGCTATAACGTACAGGATGCTGTCTCCTGTTGACGTCTTTCTCAAATATGTTTCACTCCGTGTTGGGGCATTGACTTGGATCTTTGATCCTCATTTGCAGATACTTCCGGAATAGGGATGGAAAAAAATTACTAACTCCTTCGTGGCTCCATGGATGGGAGATTCTTGTTTTTTTTTTTTTTGGTTCCCCACTTTTATTTTAGGACGGTTACAGAAAGGAATTCCCTACCCTAACACTAGCCCTGAATTATTTTAGCAATATTATAAATTAATAACTATACTTGACTGACAACCTTTTCCATTTATGTGTGCAAATTAATTATTACTTTTGGGACTCTTGCTTTCTGCTGCCCCCGGGTGATCTTTGGGCCCCTTTTTAGTAATTTACCTCTTGTTCTTTCGTTATTCTGAAATCTGTATTAAAAGCAATTTCTGAATCTATGATAAGGATAATGACGATAGTAAACCTTACATGTCTCGTTTAATCTCTAATTACACAAAACCGTTGGAAGGTTTTCAACATCCAATGAGCATAGCCAAAACCATAGTGCCATTTCATTTTCCTATTTTCTTATAGGTAAGGGTAATGTTAACTCCACCTTATATCCGAGGATGAAACTTCAAAATTTGCATTATTATTATGTGATTCAATAGATGTTTATTTATGTAGAATTTGCCACTTTCTTCATCGTTTTCCAATTACTTTGCTCTGTGCAGAAATAGCGCAGGATGTGTGTATCTGCAATATGATGCTGTGGAAGCTGCTATAAATGCTCAACGTGCAATGCACCTGAGATGGTTTGCAGGCAGACAGATATCAGTCTTGTTCATGGTCTGTTATTTAACTTTTTATCCCTTTAGAAAGTCTTAACATTTCTCAGTTTCGACTTCTTCTCAATGTCATCTTGGTGTGTGTTGCAGCAATCGCAGGTATATGAAGCAAAGTTTAAAGGAGCTTGAGTAGTACCGTTCGTGGCTCTCACCATTGAGTAGCAATCAGAAGATTTCTGTAGCCATCCCTGCTTTGTCTCCCTCTTATGTGTAACAGGTGCTTATAGAAGTAGAGGTAAAAAGAGAGTCAAATATGTTACTAGCAAGAGTAAATGGTGTTCTTTGTGGTGGATGTTGGTTACCTATTTGTAGTTTCTGCGCTATAACATCAGTACCAGGCTCTTGGTGTCAACTTATGGAGCTGCTTTATTTTTAAAGATATTAGCATTCACACTTTGTAGATCAATGGGTTGCTTTCATTTCTCTTATAAGAATTTGATTTTCCTCCATTTACATTGCTGATGATAATAATATCCAGGTTTTCCAAATTCTTCTTGGAGCAGGCCCTATTAACCGGTTGTAATGGTTTGTTTTTGTCACAAAATCTATAGTTTAATAATTTATAACGATTTTGTTTATGTTGTAGAGTGAGTTCTATAAACTGAAATGGTTTGGAAAATTTGAGTAGGATTATTATATTTTTGGTTAGCGCATGATTTTTAGAAATTCTATTTTTAGTTTTTAAGTATTTTTTAATGCTTAAATTATAATAGTAGCAATCATTTTAAAGTTATTTTTTCAGACAATCCATCTTGCAAATATTTTTTCAAAAAGAGTTTTTAATCAATCTATTTATTTTAAATATTTTATCCATTTATTATCAAACAGTAAAGCTTAAAAGAAATTTATTCATTGAAAATCATTTAGTAATCTGTACTAAACATACTTTAGACTAGTAATCCTTCCAAAAGTGTATATAAAAAAATACTTTATTAAAAAATCACAGAAAGTGTTTATGAAGGATAAAAATGGGTGGTGTTTGATTTTAGTTTTAAAGTTTGTTGGATAATGTTAACTAAAAGTTGTTTTTTTTGTTTTTTTTTTATGAATATTTAGATAAGCAAAAGTAGTTTAAGACTAAAATCATAGAAAGAAGCAAATCCAAACTAATTTTTAATAAGTTGTTAAATTTGCCTTTCGGGATTACTTATTTAGTTAACAAAATTATTTGTTTAATGTACTGACACTTTTAAAAGAATATTTGAATTATACTAAAAAACAAAAAAATTTTAACTACAAGTATGAGGCTAATGTTAAAAGAATATCCTTGCTAATCACTAACAAGAGTAACAATAATACAATATAAAACCATATTTTCTTATGGACGTGATTTATATCATTTAATACATTTTCTTTGTTCACCATGGATGATATCAATGTTTTTAGGTCGTGGAAATTATTTCTACATAATGTTGAAATGAAAGTAGATTTCACTTTAATTATTTTCTAACTATTAGTCATTATCATCCATTAACCACGAAAACTATATTTAATATTTAAAAGTTATGCAAGAGTATTTAAGAGCTGACTTGTTTTCAAATTCTAATTTATGAGAAGTAAATTTGGTAATTGTTTGTATTTCTTCTCTTCCATTTTTAGAAGCATTTCTAAAGTTGTGTAAAAATTTTGGGACATTATTTTATCATTTTTTGACTGCATAAAGAAAAGCACAAAAATTTTGAATGTTTAATTTGAAAAAAATTAATTGCATTTAAATCATTGATTGGATTCAGTATTAAACTATTTAGAAATTGTAAAATCTGAATGGGCCGAAATTGGGGCCCAACAGAGAGATGGTGAAGATGGCGGAGGTGGCAGTGATCGGGGAGGATTTCGTGCGGTCACGGCGGCGATAAGACCGGGACCTCAAAGCCCTACTCTCTCTCGGCCATCCCTTTTCTTCTCCCTCTCTTTTCGTATAAAATCTTCCTTCAATCTTTAAACCCACGGGGCCTTCGGAGTTCGGAGGGGGCTTAATTTTTCAAACCAGCCATCGATTCCGATTCACGCCAACGGAGGGAGTGGCCAGTCGGAGTGGGATTGGGGTTCTTCACATTATCATTCTGAGCTTCTCCAGATTCACTCACTCCTTTGATTTTCCAGTACACCATGCCACTCGTCTTTCATTTCTCTTTTACTTGTGTTTCCTTCCTTTCCGAGGCTGTCGAGATTCATCATCTCTCTGCTCGGCTTTGCTTGCCTTTGCAGATATGGATAGGTACCAGAGAGTGGAGAAGCCCAAGTCAGAGAATACTCCTATAAACGAGAATGAGATTCGCATTACTACCCAAGGAAGGATGAGGAACTACATTACTTATGCCACCACTCTTCTCCAGGTTTATCTCTTCTCTTCTCTCGGCTTTGCGTTTGATGGGTGTTTTTACATAATCTTATGTGTTGCTTCTTTTGAATTCTTGGTGGGTAATAATTAATGGCGTGAATGCTGAACTGGGTACTTCTAATTTCATGGTGGTTTTGCTTTTAATACTCCAAATGCCTGATTTGAGGCCAATTAGAACTTCTGTTTTACGAATTTTCTATATTTGTTAATGCTTTCGATTTGCTTTGAAAGGGTCAGAGAAAACCGTGTCCTTGTCTGCGTCCACTATAGAAAACTTGCTTTTGATATCAATACCGGAATCTGATTGTTACACTTTTGCACTTTTTCTGTATGGTGGTACTAAACGTGGGCAGAACTTGTTTCTATTTTTGTTCTCATTTTTAGTAATTCTAACTCTTTTTTCCTGCCCGTGCTTGTCTCTGTTTCACCTACTGACTCGTGGTTGTTTGACCATATTACTCTTGATACTTTCTCCTATTGCTGTAGATAGCCTTTTCTCTCTCATTTGCTTTCCTTTTTCTGGTCCGCATCAGGGCCTTTCTTTTCATGTGTGGAGTCTTGCAAAAGATTCTTTTTCTGATTTCGTTGTTTATGATTCTTGTATCTTCCATAGGAGAAAGGGTCAAACGAGATTGTTGTCAAGGGAATGGGCAGAGCTATCAATAAGACTGTAATGATAGCTGAACTAATTAAGGTGGGGTTATTCTTTTCACTGTGCTTGTTTTTCTTTTTGGTGTGCTTGCAATATCCTCCATATTATCTACCTTTTCTTTGTTCAGAGAAGGATTGCTGGTCTCCATCAGAACACTGCAATTGGATCCACTGATATAACTGACATGTGGGAGCCACTCGAAGAAGGCCTTCTTCCGTATGAATTCATACTCTCCCATATGCTTCCGAAATTTTTCCAATATTAGCTCTGTAGGACAGTTGTTCTGATTTATGAAAGCTGATTTTCTCTACTGTTGTGCAGTCTAGAGACTACTCGACATGTTTCTATGGTGTCAATTACCTTGTCCAAGAAGGAGCTAGATACATCTTCGACAGGGTAAATATTTTAGGTTTGATGTCAACTTCTAGTTACAAGAAATATTCTCTTTAGGATTGTATATTTTCAGTTTGATTTCAACCTATAACAGTTTTTAGGAATAGTAGTTACAAATTACACCCATGTGGTTTGTCTAATTTGCAAATTGTACCTCTATATTTAAACTGGGTTCAAATCTAAGAATTGTGATATTTTGTTTAAGATTATCATTAACTTTAATGAAATAAAATAATGCCACTTATAAAACTTAATTAATAGTACGATTTTCAAATTATATACTGTGGATTGATTTGTAAAATAGGAAAGCCATGAGGGTGTAATTTTCAATTAATCATTGTGATTTGAACTCTGAAGTAGTTTTTTGGTCTTATTTGAGGTTTTCTGATTAATTTTTTCGTTGGAATTCAATATTCAAGCTCTATGCACTCAGTATTTAAATGAATATGTTTCTTGACCACTAATTTCATTTGTTTTACTTCTATGTAGATACCAGCCTCCGCTTCCAGTTGACCAAGTGAAACCATGGAATGAATTTGAAGATGAAGGAGGTGAACGGATATAAACTGGTTTTTATGTTCTCATTTACTTATAATATTGAACTGGTTTTGAATTATATTTGCATCATTTACTTTGATTTAGAGGGATCACCTAGGATACGAGGCAGGGGACGTGGTAGGGGTAGAGGCAGGGGTAGAGGTAATATTCTTCCCTTAGAATGCATTATATAATGTATGCATATATTTTCAGGCATATTTGGTTTGAACTTTTTTAGTGCAACTGTATATTACTTCTTTGATTGTTATATAGAGTAAATATGGTTTTAGCGTTGCTAGCGCCCCTGGGCCCTGGGAACAGAGTTAATCCTGAATATATTGACACAAATAACTTGCAACTTATACCAAAGTACATTAAAGTACAGAACTGAAAGACAAATTCACGTTACACATACATGGCAGCAATTGTGAATGAGGAATAAGACGTTTGATGTACATGATGCAATTTTTTTTAGAATTAATGAGAGGTAAATCTTTTCATGATCCTAAAATTGAAATTAATTATCTGTGCCAACTGCTACTAAACTGGTTTCTGTAGGGAACTACAATGGTCCATCTGAGTATCAGGGAGATGGATGGGATGGTGGGCGAGGTTTTGGTGCTAGAGGTCGAGGACGTGGAAGAGGTCGTGCATTTCGTGGAAGGGGACGTGGTTATGGTCGTCAATCAGGTGGATATTATGATTATGGTGAACCTATGGCACCACCAGTCCCTGGCCGAGGTGAGTTGTAGAATTTGTGATATAATTAAACTCAAAAGAGAAAGGTGATTGTGTTTCTCTTGGTTTACTTAGTTTTGTTCTGCTGCTTATAAAATGATGTAAAACTTGACTGTGAGACTTTAACCCAAGAGAATAGATCAAATTTAGACCTTATAACTTAAGTTTTCAGGTCAATCAGTTATTCAAAAGTCTCAAGTAGAAAAGCTCGTTTGTGATATCTTCACCGTTATCGAACTGTCCATTAATATTCTCGTTTCAAACCTGTGCACACCATTCATTTATTCCCATTGTTAGAATTGGACTTATATTTTGTTATTCTGAAGGCTTTGCAGCGGGGCGTGGTCGTGGCAGGGGGAGGGCTCGTGGTCGTGGTGGTTATTATCGATCAGATGGACCGGTGCAAGCAGCCGCTGCTTGAGAAGCGAATGCCGATCAACGTGGTTGCATTTTGCCGATGGCCTCGATATTTTATAGTTTGGATGCCCTTTTTTATTTTCAAGTTGGTAAATTGCCGCCATGGAGGTAGGAGTTTTAGTTTCTGTAGTTTGAGGTAGGAAGATTTTCCATAGCTCCTAATTTTAACTTCAAGTACGTACGTCCGAGGCAAATGGCTGTAAATTATTTTTCTTATATTCTCTTTTCCATAGGAAGTAGTGTAGCAGTACATTCTTTCATTCTTAAGTGGATTTACAACTTTTGCTCTTATTTTATGACAATAAAAATCATTATGTAGAGTTGCATCAATTGGATATAATATAATTTAACCCCAAGGATTTTCAAGTTAAAGGGTCATGAAAAACAGGAGGTATATAAGTTGAAGAAATCAATAGAAAAATTATTTGCTCTTTTATTTTTAGTTGTTTTATAAATTTGAACTAATTAAATATTACTAAACATATTAATGAGCATTTATTTTAATGTAAAATAATGCAAAATGATGTCTTTGATATTTTTTACCTCAAAGGTTTGTTTGTTTCGTAGGAGTTCAAGATTCTCAAGGATACTCGAACATCTAGGATGCTCATTCTAAGTTGAGCGTATTTACTCATTATATTCTTTTGTTTTTTATTCTTTTTTCATATGTTTTTTTAAATTAATTTTTGATATTTTAATTTTATAACTAAAAAGATTAATGTACGCATTCGTTAATAATAGAAAATTCTATGCTATTAAATACTACAAAAAAATTCTTCGCAAATATTTATGTATTACATTCGTATAAAATAATAATATCTATTTATTTGGTTTATTGATTCTCTTAAAATTATATTAATTGGAGACCAATATTATACGTCCCTCTTAATTTTTTTCCTTATTTGATAATGTAAAAAAAATAATCGAACAGAAATCTACCGATTGTAAATTCAAAGTCAAAATTGAAATTAATAGCTATAAATATTTTTAAATAATTTCAAATTAATATAAATTGATCTATAAAATACATTTAAATTCAATATAAACTAAATTGGCAAAAGGCAACTTATAAATTATGACTGTAAGTTATTTTTTGAAAAAAAATATATAACTTTGACATTCTCGTGAAAAAAGAAAACATAACTATTTAAAGATACCAGACATCTGTATTTTTCGACCTCTAAAAAATTTTAGATAATCGTTCTATGAATAACTTGAGCTCATTTTGTCAAAACATTCGAAGAAATGTGTTATTTGTTCTGAAAATTAAAGAAAAGATAGCTAAAGGATTCCTTCCAAAATCTTGAGTCGACCCCCTTAAAAGATAGGGGAAACATTTGCCCGCTAAAATGACCACCATTCGTGGCATTCTTGCCTTGGTTGCAATCAAAAAGTTGCCCTTATTTCAATCAAATTGACATGAAGAATGCCTTTCAACAACATAAGGGAAGCGGGGATCCGCAAGAATCTGTTTCTATTCAGCCTCCTCCAACTCCAGGCTGATCTTCTCCTAGGAATCCTAACTTGGTATGCAAGCTCAAGAAAACGATTTATGGATCTATATACTTGGATTGGCTAAAGCAGGCCCCAAGAGCGAAAGTGCCTAGCAGTTGTCTAATAATGTGTTATCCAAATTAAAAACATGTGGAGAATGTGTAAATCAAGTCTAAGAAACACCATCTAAAGCCCATAATACTGTTACACAACACCAAAATGCCAACACGCCTTCATTAAATGATACATGTTTTCATTCAATTTTTGCAAACAAACCCTAAGCTTCATGTTCATCTCTTCGATCTTTTTACTTCAGTTTTTTATGTTTAATTCTTTTTATATTTGTCTCTTTATTTTTATCTTTGTATATTGGGTTAATGTTCTCATTTAAAGTTTGTATGATCTTGTCAAACCAATAGTTGACAAGCTAAACTAATTTAACTTGATTTGATTTTTCAAAATTTACTGGTTTTCTGGTGTGTTTGGAATCAAACGAAATTAAACAAACTTAATTTGGCTTAATTTTCTAGAAACTAGCACACCATCTTTTCGAACAAATTACTCATAAGTATTTCATAATCAAGGTGTACTCAAACTAGGTATTGTGTGTTGTTGAGAACTGGTGGTAAGAACTTGAGATATTGTTTTGATTTATAAAAAATAACAATAACCTACAGTACATGCATGAAGGGTTTATAATTAAAAGAAAAATCAAGGAATTTCTTTTTAGATATAACTTTATATAGTAACACACATCCAAGGATTTATAAAAGCTGGTTTTAATAAGTTTGATGCAATTTCCATATATTTTAATTTTTTTTATAATGCAACAGTGTCTCAATCAATTAAGCTAACTTCAAATTCACCATATATTTCAATTTGATGAGTTTATTATTTATAAAATATTAGTATGCAGTCTAAAAAATAAGATTGTCATACTCCACAACGGATGTATGACCAACAGAAGGAACAACGCTAGGATTTACAGTAGAGCCGTTCGATTATGCGGCACATCTTGCCATGCAGTGCCAAGAATGTAGGTGACGGAGGGTGAGACCACGCGCCAAGAATGTCCTTTGACAATCCGCCATAACCCATATGTAAATGGAGCATGCTGCAGTTACCTAGGATAGAATCCCTTATACCAAATATCTAACATTGAAACAAAGTTCTTCCTTGTTCGAAATACATAAGAAAAACAGCTTACAGAAAAACTATGAGAATTGACGAAAGGGATGAGTACGTATATTCACAGCATGTGATATTAATTACTTTACATAATAATCATATCAAACCACGAATTTGCACTAATAATATCATGAAAAATATCAGGGTTTGATTAAAATCTTTATCCCAGTCCAAAATAGATCAAATCATAATCATTCCAGCTTAAACTCAGCCTACTAATTGATAATTACAAGTTTTTACGTGATCAAAGATAATCAAAACAAAGATAATAGATACAATTAAAACATGGGAGGATTTCATTCAATTAATAACAATTTGCATCTCTTGTCTAAACTTTCCAATGGCCATCCATATGAAAGCAGCAGGAAGCAAATACACAAACTCAGCCAAGAACACTCTTTTTTTTTTCCTTTCCAATAAACTATTCTAAGAAAAAAACGAGAGTGAAAATTCGAAGCTACAATATTTATTTTAGAATTATGAGGGCGTTAAAGTGGGGATGATTCTGTTGCCGGAGAATCTTGCATTAATGATGGGCTTGGTGGTCATGTAAATACTTTGAATGGATCGAAATCGCGATCGTCTCTTCTTGGGCCGACAAATCGAATTACGGTCTTCTTCTAATTCTTCTTCTTCTTTCCCGAAAATCTCTTCAATTTTAGACCAAATTGAGGCTTCGATTTGGCATCTCTTCTGATCAACCTCCTCCTCGCCGCCGTCGCCGCCGCCGCGCTTCTTATTATTCTTCTTCTTCTCCGCTGTGACGACATTGCTACTACTGTCGTCCTCGTTGCTCAGCTGCATCAACTGCTGCGCCGCACCCAATACCTCCTCCATATTTCGCGAACACGACGATTCTTCTTCCATTTTTTTCTTTTTTTTTTTAAATCTCACTTTAGAGAGAGAGAGAGAGAGAGAGAGAGAGAGAGAGAGAGAGAGAGAGATAAAATTTCTGAGTTTTCTCTTGGGTTTCGGTGTGTGATCTGTTTTGGGTTTTATGGGTATTTGGCAAATTGAAAGAGCGCGTTTTATGAGGGTACGTGTTGCAGTTCCAGATTTCTAGAGAGAGAAAGCAGTTTACAGAGGAGAGAGAAATGCAACGTTGGTTCGAAGAAGCTGGGTGGAAGATGATGACGATGATGATATATTATTATTTGTTTTTATTTTCTGATATAGGCCGCACGGATTTATTCTCTACATCCGATTCTATTTTAAACTATCATGCTGTGGGTTCCTCCACCGTTGGATTTTTACGATTAAATTAAAACGTCCCTCGACTTTGTTGACCTATGTCTTTACAAGATCCAACGTATCTAATTTTTTTTTTTTTGAACAAATATCATTTTTTTGATTCTTAGGTCGGATTTCTTTTCAATATTAAAATTTGAGAATGGATTAAATTTTGCTTAAGATAATCAATGTGGTTGATCACATTTTGGTTTTGGTTTTTTTTTTAATCTTTTGCCGTTACTTGGATAACAAGTATTTTAATAAATAGTTAGTAAGTCTCACATTCTAGTTTTATGTCAAACCTTTGACTTTTTTTTATTAAGAATATATGTTTAGGATTATGTTTAGATTCGAAAATGTAATTACAAACGAAATACTTATCTTATAAAAAATTTTAATAGTTAGTTTAGTATAGTTTTCAAATAACTTTAAACATCTCATTTTATTAGTAGACACTTATTTAAAATGTCTATGTTAGTTTTTCTTAAAAAAACATATGATATTATAAATATAAATTTATATTCTCAATTTATCCTTTATTTACGTACTATTTTTCATCATTTATTTACTAAATTGAAAGACTATTTTTCCCCTTTTAAGACTAAAAAAGCTTGAAATAGTCTAATTTTTCGATAAAGTCATCATAATTTTGATGGAATGAATATATATTCAAATTATTTATATTTTTAAATAATGTGGTAATATATATTTAGTCGTTAAAAATTAGGAAGTCTTTTAGTTTTTCAAACAAAATCATTTATAAATGCTGTGATAATAATCAACCTTAGATTCATCATTTCATTAATGAGAATCTATCTAATATATAAAAGATGAATATAAAATTAAATCATATTCTATCAATTTTCACTTAATTAAACTCATTAAAATTTATTTTTCTGTATTAGGAAAACAAAACACACAATTATTAAAATAAAAAATGAAGAAGGCATCTCTCTTCACACGAGACAGGATCCCCTGCATCCAGTCTCATTGTAGGATCATACCCCACCAACAAGCAACAACTATACGAGGAAATTGGAGAAGGTTTAAGCCGTCCGATGGATCAAGTTTGAAATCGGACGAATCTGATTGGATAGGGGTAGGGAGTGGAAATCGTCAAACTCGTGTGTGCTATTTTTCCAAGAAGGCTTAATCGGGAAAAATAGATGGATGATGACTTTTGACTTTTGACCTTCTTATGGGTTGGGCTTTGGCAAAATGAGATTAAGCGTGTAAAAGACTAATTGCTTTGAACAAATAAAAAAAAAAAATTACTTTTCTTGTTTTTAGATTGCAATTTGTTTTTAAAATATTCATCAAATGGAAATTACTATTCAATTTCTTTAACTTGGTTACTTTAATTCATACCTTTCAACCTTAAAGTTTTCTTTTTTAAAGGAAATTCTGTCCCTAGAGATTAAAAATTCTGTTTAGGTCCTTTGAATTTAGCCATCGTCATTAAAATCTTTAATAAAAAAATATAAGTAATGTAGTTTTTTTTTCTTTGTTTTCTTTTTATTGTCTTTAGTGTGCATCTAACTAATGACAAAAAAAAAAAACATATTGACATCTACATCTAAAAATTAGTTTTCTTTTTTTTTTAATTTTTTTTAGACGTACATATAAAAATGAGTTGCTTGTAAGTTGGAGTTGTTATGCTAGCCTTTTATTAGATTTATTACACCGGAAGATTAATTGAAATTTTCATGATTACTTTTACGATATTAATTGTGCTGAGATGGCAAAAATTTACTTTAGTTTAAATATTATTTTGGTATTTCAATTTTGTTATCCTTCAATTCATATGCTTTTAACTTTTGTGTTAGGAGCAAACATAATTTAGTAGTAATTGACATATACCTCAAACTAAGAGGTCTTGAGTTCGAATCCTCTCCTCAACATGTTATACTAAATATATATATATATATATATATATATATATATATATATATATATATATATATATTCTAAACAAGAAGTTGTGAATTCGAATCCCCATTCCCCTAACGAAAATGAGCCTATAATGATCAAAATGAATGTTGAAGTAGATGAACTAAAATAAACAAAAACTGAAAATATATTTAAACAATTACTTTTATACTTTGTTATTATGATGGCATGGCAAAAGAATTAAACTTTTAATTATTTATAATTTGTTTTGATTAGATTTAATTTAAGCCCTTCTTCTCCTTGTCTAGTTTCTTTGACCCCTTCTTCTAACCCCTTTTTCCTCCTCTATTTTGTTTGTTTCGAACTCATTCCTACATCTTCTTCAATTTCTCAGTATCTTTGAAAACTCAACTTCTAAATCAAAGTGAAAACTCATAGATCAGAAGTGTAATTTTCTTTTTCCAAAAATTCTCTATTGCGACTAACACAAGCGTAATTCAACTCGTCTCTTTGACATGAAAATACTGATTCAAATCTTTGGTGAATAGTCGCCAACAACACGAACATTATTCAACTGGACAGAGGTTGTTGAAACTTAAAATGCAAAGGAAAAAAAAAACAGAGAAAGAAGTCTAACTTGGAGAAAGAAAGTGGACCTCAAGTTCAACCAAAACCAACCCAAACTTGGTGTAATTTGACCTGCTCCAGCCTCTAAACTTATTTTCTTTTGCTGTTTTTTCGTTTGATTTGACATTCTTAAGAGACTAGAATGCCTCCATTTCTAAAGTCAAATTTTAAGAATTTATTCACTCATATCAAAACTTGTCACTGCAAATTCTCCATAAAAAAACAAAAAAAACCACAGAATTCTTTCGACCGGTGTCGGGAAAGTTTACAAAAATACCCTCCCTCCAATCAGCATTAACGATAACAATACCGATATGGTACAGTTGGCACCCACAATTTTCAGGAGAAAAACAATGACTTTCAAGGTTCAAATTCTAATGGAAAGTCATTAAAAAGGCATTCAATTCAACATTGAAAAGGAGGAACAGATGAAGAATGTCAAGGGTTTACATTAGAACACAGAAAAAATGAGAGTTTGAGACAAATTTTACATATCCCCTAAAGTTTGACAAGGGAATAAATTATATAAGTTCATGTTTTTCCATGGGACAAAAATAGGGAACAATTTAGTAAAAGGCTAATTAAGCAGGCACCCAGAGACCAGAGTAATTTTAATAAAAGAATCAAAGAAATCTATAGAACAAATAACAATTCCTCACCCTCCAACCCCTCTATCTACATCATACTGCTGCATTAACTTTCTTCCAACAAAAATTAGTCAAATTTTTCTGCAAAAACCATAACCAACCCGTCTCATCTCGTCCCGACCTGCTTGTTTCCTAATCGCAATTCAACCCGCAAACTTCTAAAACAGGACCGTCTTTCGATACAAACGGGTTGATCCTTACCCACAGTAATGTTAAGATTGAGGCTAAAAGAATTGACCAGACAACAATGATCGTCGGTAACCGATCTTGTTTCCCTAACAATCCCTTCAAGAAGGGGTAGAGGTGGATAATCACCCAAAGGGCAAAAAATAGCCTTCCGAAGAGAGGACCCCAGGAGTCGTACCCATTATTGATGGCGTCCGAGATCCCGACAATTACACCGACAATGTTTATGATCAACAAGGTTGTGGGGGGTATTAACAATGATGTCCACTTGAAGACATAGAGTTCTGAAAATTCCCCATCGTCGGCTGCTTTGGATGTCACTGTGAAGTTGGTGCTAACACCAGCTAAAACCTTGAGTAGACCTTGGAAGAGAGCAAAAAGATGCGACGAAACGCCTCCAATTACCCAGAACTGCTCGTTTCTCCACCAGTCGTCAATTCCAACACCACCCCACTGCATCTCAAGGATACCGGTCGCAGCAATCGAAATGAAGAGTGCCATGAAAATAAGACTAGCATAGTTGCTAATCTGCAAATGTTCAGAAATATGTTGGCTATTAGAAGGGGGAAATGGTAGATAAACCAGGCTAAGTCAACCAGTAAATGGAACAAATTTTTACTCAAATTTAAGGCAAAGGGCCCAAAATGAAGAAAACAAATTCTTGTCAGTTCTAGCTGCTGAAATGAGTAGCCACAGCAGAAGCCATTATACGGATCCTTTAATTGAAGGAAGAAGAAAAGGGATTACCTCAGGAACGATAAATTTTCCAGTGAGGAGACAGATAGCTGGTAGACTACAGTAAACAAGCAATGGAATCGAGGTCCAAGGATAGACCACGGAGTTTATGTACGAAAAACGCTCCAACCATTTCAACCCGCCTCCATAGCCGTACCAGATAGGACAGTGTCTGCTCAAGAATATCTCAACAGATCCTAAAGCCCACCGCAAAACTTGGTGTAAACGATCTGAGAGGTTGATAGGAGCCGATCCTTTAAATGCAGGTCTCTTAGGAATACAGTACACAGACCGCCAGCCGTGACAGTGCATTTTAAATCCAGTCAAGATATCTTCAGTCACCGAACCGTAAATCCACCCCACCTGAAGTCATGTCAAAAGATTTCAGAAACCAAAACTGAAAAGAATCCAAGATTCAAACAACTTATAGAGCTTTACAAAAAAAAAAATTTCATTTATGACTGACCTCTTTCCCCCATTCTGTTTTATCTTCATAACCACAACTGATGACTTGAATGGCTTCTCTTAGGAGTGATGCAGCACTCACATCATGAGGAACTCCTCCATTTTCCAACAGGGTCGAGCTCACAAACACGGGAGATTGCCCGAATTTTTTTGCCAATTTTATTTGAGACACATTCAACTTCTCTATGCTTAGTTCTGCAAAAATCAACACATGGAAAGTCAGGTTGGATTTCTCATTTCTACAGAAATTACAAAAATTTAATATGATAGGAACACAACTTCTTGCTGAATCGATACATTACCTTCAATTCCCTCCTCGATATTCTCAAGTGCATGGATCTGCTTCGATGCTTCTCTGTGCTTTGTCTTCTTCTTCTTCTCATTCTTGGCCTTTCCCTTCTTGGTCCTTCTAGACCCACAACAAAGACAACACCATTTTGGCAAGCAATTGCATGTTTTGCTTGGGGGTTTCTTCTTGGTAGGAGCATCATATCCATAAAGGGCAACCCTCCGGAAAACACATCCTGTACCAACATATATTGGCCCTTGTAGCCCATCTAATCCTTTCATGTTAATCTGCATTAAGTTTTTTACATTAGCCTTTTGAATAGCATACGATATACAAATTCAAAGTACACCGCCCAACCAAGAAAGCATATACATACATCAAAGAAAACGACATTCCGATTGGAATACCGATCGTGACGATCAATCCCATCAAATCTTTGAGGAAACTGCACATAACAAACTTTCTTCCCTGATGTAGGGTCCATCATGAAACACATAGCTTCTCTAAGCGCCTTACTATTGTTAATGTAGTGATCACAGTCAACATTAAGAAGATAAGGAGCATTAGACAGAATTGCCGAGACCCGAACCTTCAAAGAATAAGACAAAAAAGGGTAAGGTTTAAGTGCAGCAAATGTAACAAGATGCATCACAAATATCATAAAGAGTTTTCCAGGATTGCCAATCAGCTAAAAATTTAGGGGATGAAGATTTAAGCTTAAACATACCAGTGCATTCATGGCCCCAGCCTTCTTGTGATGTTCAAACCCTGGCCGCTTTTCACGAGAAACATAAACCAAACGCGGTAGCTCATTTCCTTCAACATCGCAAACTCCACTCTGGCCAAGGAAGACCTATAATATACACAAGTATATGCAAAAATGAGTTCTATCAGAAAAAGGCTTCTTCATTGATCAACATGTAGGCAAAAGCTTGCTTAGGAATGTACATGATGAAGAGACAAGGAAGCCAATCTTATTGACACAATGCCGAGGTTAACAAAGACACAAAAATTACCTGAATCATGCCAGGGTGGTCTCGAACATTGTTCCCAGGCCATGGAGTACCATCTTGCATCGTCCAGCCATCCTCAGGAACCTTTTGAGCCATGGAGACCAAAGCATTTATCCTAACCTTAAATTCTTCATATTCTCTCTGTTCCAAGCAAAATGAACAGGAAGTCAGTAACATTCTTACAGTGAAATGTAACGATACTTAAGAATTAAGATCAGCATCCTAAATTTAACCAGAGTTGTAAATGAGGTTACAATAACTTGCATCAAATGTAAACAAGAGACTGCACTCGTAACATACCTTCATTGCTCGCCTTTCCCTGACAAATGCAGGGTGGACCTTGTTCTTCAAATAATCAATCTTTTGAGAGAAATAAAATTCAGGGGCACGGGGCTCAATATTGAATTTCTTACAGAAAGGGACCCATTTCCTAGCAAATTCAGATGTCTCAGAGAGTGCTTCAAATGTTAACATGGCTGCACCATCATCTGATACATAGCATGCAACTTTATCTACCGGATAGTCAACTGCAAGAATGGAAAGTACTGTGTTTGCAGTGATCAATGGAGGTTCTTTCAATGGATCGACAGTACTGACAAATATGTCCACGCTGGCTAATTCAGAAGGCTTCCCTTCTTTTTCATACCTGAAAATATGAAAACCAAATAATCAGTCAAAGCTTCCCAAAGCAAGGGAAAAAATCTACGAATTACCAGAAAAGAGTTATCAATCATTTGATAAAAAAAAAAATTTGAAATGTGTTCAAATGAGGCATTAAGAAGATTGAGTCTGCATCACCTCAGTGACAGCCTATCAAGATAAGTCTCCCTTTCAATTGGATACCATTTTGGGAACTGATCCAGAATCCATGATACAGCAAACCATATTTCACATATGACTGAAGTCAACCACAAACCATAGGCATCTTTAACTGGATGAAGAATTCTGTAATGGAAGAATAAGCCAAGAATAACAAGACGAAGCAAGATGATTAATCTGTATGGATTTATTCTGCTTGAGGCGATGGGCAATTTCCTTGATAGCGGCTGCCTAGCTTCATCCATCCTGTTGAATGGTACACAAATAGATGGTTGGTTGGTTATTACATGGATTAAAGAAGAAACTAAGAAATAGAGGTACAACAAGAGAGAAAGAAAACATGGATTTAGTTTGTATTACATGTCAAATTGTTCACATCAAACTATACATGAAAGCTATGTGACGAGTTTAGAACAACAGACAATAAAAATTCGAAAATAGATAGTGTAACAAAAATGCATGCAAACAACATGCACAAATGACAAAACGCTTCAAACGGCAGCTTACATGGGCAAATCAGGATCGTCAATATCATTTCCATCATCATCGGCCCCTTGATGCTTCACCACTTGAAGTTTATCATTTTGCTTCTTCTTCCAATCTTCCATTCTGTCCTTCCATGCCACACTCCCGTAACCGTACACTGCAATGTCTTTTTGGGGAACCATTGGTCTAGGTTGAGCTATGCCATGGAAATTGTAATGTTAACCATAAAGATTATATAACCACATACATAATAGAAATAAGCATCTCAATGCCTTTATGACTTACAGGGTATAGATGGATCAGGGAATGGCATTGGATGGACTCTGTTTCCATGACCCATAAAATGGGGTACAAGAGCATGTTGATCAGAAGAAATCTCATAATCCTAGCAAATGAAAAGGCATCACTATGTGGGCTTGATCATGATTATTGATCGACATTTAATGTTACAAGAACGAGAGAGAGCGTCGAAGAATTCCAATTACCTCCTCGCCATATGTCAGGAGAGGAATCTCGGAACCAAGAGGAGAAGGTTCGTGCTCTGACTGTCCAGGGATTTGAGATGCATTAGGGTGGGAACCACGGCCAGCATTAAGGCGTGAAGCAAATGCTGCCTCTGCAGCATAATGAGGGCCCAAAGAATCGAGGTTTCCATAGTCGAACTCATTATCCAAATCATCAATATCATCTTCATCCTCATCACCTTCAACTCTAGGACTACCTGCAATTTGCACCACTGATTACATATGGCACCCAAAAAAGACGTGACAATTGAAGAATGATTTTATTTTTTAATAAAATCCCCACCCTTAATGCGTTTGTATCTGGTTTTACACTGTGGACAAGCTTGATTTCCCTCTCTTCTCTCATACTCGTAGCAAGGTCTACAAACTGGGAAAGCACACTCATTACAGGCAACAAAGAGCTCTCCTTCAACAGTTATCTCTACCTCATCTCCGCAAATCTGACATATTTGCCCACTCAATTCCTTCACAGACTTGATCTGGAAACACCAAACAAAAATGGAAACAATAGAATAAGGACTTAAACTGAGCAGTGGCGGCTAAAAGAGACCAGTACTAATCACCTTCCCGTAAAATCACTTCTAATTATTAAACTGGACCAATAAAACTAAAATAGTATAATCAAATTGAGCCGAGAGACGGATTTTGCTGTAGATATAATCAGAGTAGATCTGAAAGACTATCCAAACATGTTAAAAAGGTGAAATTTTGTAACACAAAGCAGCAAGAAAGCTCACAGATTTCTAGAAAGCATTTGAAAAAAAAAATTGGATGATCAAAATTCAAGATGAACTAAGAACATAACTAAGTTTCTCCAACTTGACATGCACAGAAATCCGGGAAAGACTTGGTCTTTTGCTTTCTTTTTCTGTTGCTTTCCTATGAGTGGAAAAATAACGGAAAAAGGAAAATGAGATGATAGAAAGCAGTCGTCTTTCCTTCGGGAGAAAGCAAAGCAAACACCTACAGAAGAAATCCTCGCAAGACGAAGAATCGTAACCCCCAAATTGTTCCATTTCCAGAGAAAACCCCAAAGTTAAACGGAAATCAAACTCGCAGCAAAGTCGGAAAATTCATAACATAAATCAATGTGCCCCAACACGAGGGCGTTGAGGAGTCTTGATCTTACCCGTGCAGTCTCATCTGCATTGATCAGAACAAACTCATTTCTATTGTGAGACCCGGCGATGAGTCTACCAGCGGTGTCCATCGCTTACCACAAAATAAAAAAAAAAACAAAAAAAAGCAGTGCCAAATTTCAGCTCCTCGACTGAAACAAACCCAGATTACCGAAAGAGGGAAATCCCAATTAGAAGCCGATCTCGCAGCGAACGAGTCCGCCTCTCACAAATCACTCAAAAAAAAAAAACTCATCTTTGCCTCAAAAAACTCATTTTTCAGCCCCCACCATACGGCAATCGACTAGAAATCCATGTTTTTCCTTGGATGGGTCGGGTTGGAATGTGGATTCCGGCACAGAGCAAGTGAGTCCCCCTTAGCAAAACTGGCTGGGCTGTCTCAATCCGCGCCAGTGCCAAAGGGATAAACAAGAAAAAGGGGAGAGAGGAGAGGAGAGGAAGCGAAGAAGAAAGAGAGAGATTGTATTTTTGTGTGGAAATGAGAAGGCGTAGAAGAGAAGAAGGAGATAATAAGAGATGGAAAAAGAGAGAGAGGAGGTGGGCCCAGAAGTGTGGTGGTGGCGCAGGGGCAAGGCAGAGCCCACCACCGGAGTTGGTGGCGAAAGGGGAAGAGAGAAGAAAAGTATAGAAACGAAACCCACAAACAAAAACTGGGAGTTCTAATGGGAACGGAACAAAAGGGGTCGATCAGAGAAAGAAAGAGAGCTGTGGGTTTGTTTTGATTTTGGCTTTAACTGGGTTGCTTTATCTCACTCGCAAAGTTCCGGTGGGTGCGAGGAAGAAGAATCATCAGAAACCCAAATGCAAATCAATGGATTAGGAGAAATGAAAATGCTTTAGAGAGAGAGGGGAAGTAGGATCTGCTCACGCGGCGTAGATTATGTCCTTTTTCTTCTGTGCTGTGTGAGAGAGAATACTTAGAAGTGGTGGTGCTTGCTGGCATACGCGTTTCTTAACTTTTTGGGTGTAATTGTTTGTTGTAAATTTTTTCTCTCTCCATGTTTTTCCCGGATTCTTGTTCTTGTTCTTTTTTTTGTTCTTGTTCTTCGGATTAGAAAATTTAGGGCTAAACGAACCGCGAGCGGATTGGAAAATTTAGGGCTAAAAGCGAATGGAGCGTTACCGAGCCCACGGAGTTGAGTTGACTATTTAATTTTATTTGACCATATGGTTCTTTCTATTACATTACATTTTACATGTTTTCAGTTCAGTTTCTCATCCGATTCTCGGATTTGGGTCAAACCTGACACCCGCTTATTTATATAATTTTTCTTTGTTAAGGTAATTTCCAAAATAATAATAATGACATAAATAGCGTTCTATCGTTTCAGGTGTGTGTTTTTTTTTACAAGTTTCTTAAGCGATTTTTATTTATCTCGTTTCGTTTAAAATTTCACGAAGTTTTGGTTTTGATTTATCAACTCTATTCAATCTCATTGTTGGAAGTTTGATTATTAAAAAGTAGCGTTTCATTAGAATTATAGCAAATTTTCATCTTTAGAAGATTATTACCTGATGTTAGAGGTAAAATCAAGTGTAAATACATGGTTCGTTCCTGCTAAGACACGTGTGTTCGACTTCAACTTAGACGTGTTAAAGACATAGAGTAAGCAGGAAACGTGCTTAAAAGTAAAGCTTAGCTCTGCTCCAACTTAAAAAGAAGATTTTGATCGATAAAGAGAAATTCACTGATAGCAGATAGAATGTCAATTCCACTGGTAGATGATTATAATTCTAGATGGAAGATCCACTAGATGATGAACATGAACATCGTAATTTTAGAGCCACGTTTTCTAATACTCCTATAAAAAACAGAGTCTCACCTTCTCAAAAGTACACAATCTCTTTGCATTCAATTAAGTTCGACTTGATACAGGCTCATACTAAGTATTAACTTTATCTTTAGAGTATACGTGGCCGAGCACTACATTGATACAAAGTTATGTCGTTAGTTGCTTATTAGCTCACATCATATTATACTTCGAAGTTGAGTATCTTACTAACGTATAACTTTAGTAAGAATCCTACATCAAACAACCAAAATAATGGATTTGGAAAGGGGAGGGACTTGCAACTAATTTTGTCAAAGGATTGTATATGTGAAGAACAACCAAATTAATTAAAGGGAAGGGTCATAAGTTTAATGATTTAGGGCACTTTGTTGAGTGAATTAAAGTTTAGTCTCCATAGAAATAACTCATTCCACCTAAGTTCTAAACCTTTCTTAATCAACAATTATTATGACGATCCCCACCAATAATTCCCTAAGCCAATATATTAACATTTAATTTTGCACCTCAAAAATTCATTTTATATAAGATTTATTTTAATTTAAAAACTCGATATTACTCTTTGACTATTGTATTTTTCTTATTTATTAAAATATAAGTTAATTGTGATATTTTAGTATTGGTATTTTTTATATGTTATGATTTCGTCACTGCCTTTTTTAGAATGTAATACTTTAGTATTTGGAATGAAATGGGAAACAAATATTCTAAAGATATGTTGTTTGACTTGCCATGTATATCATAAGAAATTGATTGATATTATTTATATATTGGCATGCATGATATTTGAGAATATGTGTTGTCAAATACAATTTCAAAGGTGCGCTTTCAACATTTTTCCATTTATTAATTGATGATGTGAGATTTTGAGTTGAATAATATTTTGAGATTTCTTATTTACAAAATTAATGGATTAAGGTTTTTATTAGTTTGGGGTGGAGATTGACTCCCCACTTTTTAGTCATAAATGTATTTCTTAATTAGTTGAGTTAATTCACATTTGTACATAATTTTAAATTTCAATTTAACTTTAAAATAATGTAGAAATTAATAAGATCAATTAATTTAAATGTTGATTTGTTACAGAGCCTTGTGAATTTTTGTGAGCATTCTTGTAGCTAGAGCGAGTTCTAATATATATTATTATTGAGTTTGGACACTCTTTGTACTTAAATTTGTTTCGTGACTTTGTTTAAATATTTTATTGTTGGATTTAGATATTTGTTGAATTTTAAGCTTTTTTTACTAAACGATTTTGGTGTGATATAGAGCAATTTTTAATTCAATTAAATTATGATTCAATTTTTTCTTGAAACAAAATTATGATCAATTAAATAAACTTTAAAATATAATATATTTTTTTAGCTTAACAATATGTGCCGGAACTTCCAATCTTTTAGTCCATAATATGTCTTAATTAGTTAAGTTACGCTCATGCTAGTTGTTAAAATTTAATCATAGAATTTACTGTAAACGTAGAAATATATATATATATATATATATATATATATGTTAATTTTTTTTATTAATTATAGGTTTCAACCTGCAGCTTGTTAGAAGATGCTTTTTCTTTAGCAGAGAAATAGATATCTAAGTCTTCTATTATTCAATAGTTCAGCCTCCAAATCTTTCAACTGTTAAATAAAAAAAAAAACAAATGCTATGTTTGAGTTAGAAAATAAAAGGAAATATTTAGATTATGGTGAGTCAACATCATTTTTTGTTGATCATTGTTAAATTATTGACGAATAAGAGAGAAAGATGTAAGAATAAAAATATTCTTTATATTTTAAAAGAGCAATGAATTGTTAAATTTTTAGTGGCAATATATAAAAAAAAATCGAACTTATAATAAACGAAATCAAAATATTAATAATTAGCTAGAGCATAGAACAACAAAATAAGGCAACTAAAAAAAATTGGGAGATCGAAATACTTAAAAAGTATATATGTCAATAAAATTGTCTTATTTTATTAAAATAAAATAAAAACCTTATCGCGTTATTTAAATTTACCCTAAAAGAAATGGTAGCGCGGAAATTAACGAAGCCGCAGATGCGAGAAGCGTAATTAAGTATATAAATTAATTAAATTGAATTGACCGAAAGACGAGGGGAAGTCACGGAGTCGACCAGAAATGACACCGATAGGTGTCAGATTACGATATCAGGTGGGCCCCACCACTGTTTATTATTATTTATTACAAAATACTAAACTGTTTGTTTACAAATAAGAGAAACTGGTGAGGGGAGGAATTTAATAAATCATTTTTTTTTTCCCCGAGCTATTTAGTATTATTATTATATTTCATTTCTTCCCAATTAAAATTAACGCAATGATATATTATTATTGAATTAGTAAAATGCCACGTGGTACCAACCGCTGTCGGTGGATCAAATAAGCGAAACGTACGTTTAATTAGATTAGACACGTAGCTTTTTGTTATTTATATTATATTATTAAAAAAAAACAATTTACGTGCAAAAGGTTTCCTTTTTATGTAAAGTTTTGGGCCTTGCAACCTGAATGATTACTGTATCAAGGTCACTTTATTATATTATCGTTTTGCCCCTGTGCTTTCTTTGGAAAAGGAAAAAACATTTCAATTGTGTTAATTTAAGGCTTTTTTTTTAGTATAATTGTGTAAATTGAAGCTAAACAATGAATTTTGTAATGAATTGGATAGATTTTTGAATTTTAAGAGTATCTAATAAATTCATATATTTCTAAATTTGTGTCTAATAAGTCTGTGTCTAATAAGTCGCAACATTTTAAAATGTCTAATAGATTAAGATTATATTAGAAATAAACTTGAAAATTTATGAATTTATTAGGCATATTTAAAGTTCATGAATCTATTGCAGAGATATTCTAGACACAATCTTAATTTTATAATTTAACATAAATAATATTAGGTTACAAATAAAGGTGAAACAGAAAAAATAAATATTTTACCACTCGAGTTATGCCACGGATGACAAAACTTAAATCTTCATGGAAATGCTTCCATTATCCATTGAATGCGAGGTTTAAGATGCTTATATGCTTATGTCCTTTCCACCCGATTTGTGGATGCAATCTCTGTGAAAAGAAAAGTACTTTGACGGGAGGCATTGATGAATCCTAGGAACGATGACGGAGCCACGAGGAGATAATGATCGGATGTGCTCCAATAACCTAATATTTAGAAAACAAATGCAATTTATTGATTGGTTATGCATCGTAGTCAATAATATATTAACAAGTCGATATAAGCTCAAATTAACTACAAATAGTTAAACTTGTATTATAAGTCACAACATGATGTGAGATTGACCTCGTAATTTTAGAGAAAGAGTTAGTTATTTACATGATAATGCATACTTCTTCGTTGGGGTTGGGGATTCAAATTTTCAAAGAGATACGAAAATGTTATAAAGAAAAATGGGGAGGTGGGAAATGGTAATTGGGGGTGAGAAATGATTAGGGGCTCACACGTGTAAGGAAGGTGAAAGAAATGAAAATGGGGGGTTTTGCTTTTTTAGGAGGACGTGACCCCAAAGGAAGCAAAGACCGTCCACTCTCTGTACAACAATAACAAAACAATCCATGTGAAGTTTTTGGCCCCCCCATTCTTTTCTCTTCACTTTTCTTCAACATTCAGTCACTTGGAACTTCCAAATCAATGTTCATTTTTTTTTTTTTTTCCTAATATATACCAACTCACTTCAATTTATACTCCATCATCTTTCTTGTCCCTAAATAATGTCATTTTTACTTTACTTTAAAAAAAATAAATAATTTAAGATGTGTAGTTGAATAAATATTTTATGTGGGATTGATTTGGTGCAGCTCCTTTGCACACTTGGAATCAAACCTTCTATATATATTAAATCTAGAAGGTTTGAGTAACAAATTAAAATGAATTTGGTTTATAATAATTTTTTGAATAATCACATAAAATATATTAGACTCATTTTATGATAATTTAGCATTTGTAGAATTATTTGTAAATGTCTTGTAATGTGAATAAACTGTAACCAAACACTATTGAAATTGTTTTAAGAAAAAGTATACTTTTTAAAAAATGAAGGGGATTAAATTAGAAAGTGTACCAAAAATAATCCAACACTTC